ATCCAATGGGACATTTCTCCACAAGAGCAGGAGAAAATATCTCCAGGTAACAACTCCTTCAGTTTGTCACTAGCAGCATCTGAATATACTGTGGCAGCACATGGAACCAGGTGTAAGTCTAGTGTAGTGGTATTATTGGTTGGAAACATGAAGAATTTACTTTTATGACTGCAATATGCAGCAAATGAATGCAGCAAAAAAAAAGCTGCACCCACTGTCTACATATTTCCTGAAGTCAAAGCACTGTTACCTGCAGAATTCATGTTCTGTTATTCCTGTTTTCTTATTCCTGTAGCCACTTGGATAACTTTTGATTTCTTCAGATTCATGCCACTACTGTTAATACCCTAAAGAGACAGTTGGGATACGTACAGAACACTCACAGCTGTAATTAAGTGCCAGAACTTGAGCTATAACCAAACACTACCTCCCAGTTGAAATGTAGAAATGACATACTATAAGCTGGCCCATAAAGGTTAATGCAACATCTATGAAAATACTTAGCAAGTGATAAAAATAATTTCATTGTTAACTATCTTTATACAACTAGATAAGAAAACTGATTCTGGAAAAAAAACCCAACACCTAGAAAACTAAACTGTAGGTTGTAAACCTATATGTATATTTTGCTTGCATAGTGGTAACAGCAACAGATTTCATGCTGTGATCCATATAAGTCTCCCTTCCCACCACGATAGCTACACAGCTTTAATTTCACAGCCTTGAATTAATGTAGACAAAGAGAACTACATGACTACAGGCTTCCCGGAAGTGTCAAACTCCATTATTTATTACAAAATACCATTACAGTTCAGTATTTAATTAATTAATTTCACCTTTTGTTTGGAACTCTGAAATGTAAATTAAATCCCAGGACCAATATATTTTCCATGTTCTCCTCTAACACATGATTTTCCTTATTCCTGCTGCTGCAACCCAGTACGTGGTTAGGTGGTTAGCTTTCCACTTGGCTGCTCCAGCAAATAAATTCACCACACATCTACTCACTATAGGCTAAGGAAATGCTAAGTCTCTCACTTTGTGTATTAAACCAAAGGTCATTATAATCACAAAGCAAATCCTCCTTCTCTTTATGATATCCCATTGAGTCCAACAGTCTAAAACTGAGGTCTGCTAGCCTATGTGGAAAATATAAGAAACAGTCTCAGGATTTAACTGAAGCTCTTGTTCCCCTGACCAGAGAATTTATTCTTGCATGACCTATTCACCCTATGTGGCAGCATTAAGATGTTCCTCCAGCTTGCCACGTCCCCAGCTTATGAGTATGTATCCTCTATCTATTTAAAGAGTCTGGACTTTTTTCTTCTCTTTTTGTTTTTTTTTAAGTGAAATGAAGTGGGGATGAAAAGCAGGAAGAACTGAAGCATGGAAAAGACACTACAGGAGGAAGAGAACAGCTCTGATTCAGTAAATCCTCAAGACACGGGTTGTCACAGGCTGGTGGAGCATTTTGAAGTATCACTTCATGCCTGTCCTGTTCTTATGCTCTTCCTCAGGCACCTGCTGTTGGTCACTGTCCCTCAGGTGGATGGTCTTGTCCAGTATGCCTGTTCTTATATATGGAAAGCATTTCTAACAAATGATACTAAAAATGCTGTGGTCAACATCATAAGTGGCTTTGAGAGTTAGAAGTCCCTTTCAGAATTAAATCCTGAAGGAAGCTGGTTCAACTCTGCACTTGGCAATTTTCTGCTTTCATAAACACCTGAGCTCTGACAGCTATAGCTATGTGTCTGAGGTGTTGGCTTCACATGGCTAAGCAGTGAAATCCCAAAAGCCATCTGCCTGTCAGCAGCGCGGTGATTTCTGGAGAGAACCTCAGTCATCCAGGGTGAGAATCTTACCGAATTCTGTGAAAGCCAGAAACCTGAAACGGAGAGTGGAGGCTGTACAGAGCCCCTAACAGCTGCTTAGCCCAGCAAACACATCTGAAAATGCAAAGAAACAATCAAAGGCATTATGCTGAAGTGCACCAATGATTCCCTGGGCCTGCTGTTATCTAGCAGGTCAGAACCACCCCAAGCACCCTAACTTAGTTATTAGCCTTCCCCTCCAGCCCAACAAAGAACAAGAAAAAGAAAGAAGATGGTGAAGGGTCAGAAGAAAGGATGCCATAGACTGTCCCTGACAAGGGCAGGAAAAGAGGCATGATTTGGAGTGGAGCATGGGGGATACAGAGCTCACTGTTTTTAACAGGGTGCATGACAGTGTCAGTATGGGTGGGAAAGGGATGGGAAGGTTATGAGCAAACTCTGACATATGTTGAGATGGGAAAGCATCACACAGATAACCGATGGGAAAAAACCATGGATGGACATGAAGATCTACCACCATGTGCTGTGGGTGACCTGCTTATTGGTACATAGGAAATTCCATCTATTTCTTAAAAAAAAACTCTGTATGATTTAACTACAAAACACAAACCACAAAAAAAAACAACAAAAGAAGAAACAATACAAAAGGACTCTCCTGCCTTAAAATTGGTTTTAAAATTGGTTACACTCTATCTGTAAGACCAGAGGCAATACAAAAAAAGCAAGCTAGGGAAACAATCATGACAAAGGGATATTTCCATGCTCCAAGGGACAACATGCAAAATCTTATGATGGTTCTTTTTTCAGTATTGTGATAGGGAAGAGGTTTGGCAAAGGCTCTGAGATGCAGACAGCTTTCAAATGCTCATTTGCAAAAGGTATAGAATAAGTGATTAGGGATTACCAGGGTACTTTCAAGTCCCCTCCCCAGCAGGAGGCAGCAAACAGATGACTATGAGAACCAACACTACAAACACTGGCAAGTTGCTGCCCAAATATCCCAAATACTGCACAGTCTGTAGATCACCAAGGCTACAGCCACCTCTGTGGGTAACACTAGCTTAAATACCATTGAATTTTTTCTTTGCACAGTTCTTTAGAGGCTACTACAAGGAAACTGAGGCAGAATTATAGGAGAGGTATAGCAGAGGCTGTTTCTGGCATGGGTTTACATCACTATCCACCAGGATCCCAGGTCCTTTCAGCAGAGCTGCTCCCTAGCCCTCTGTGCCCAGCCTGTACCTCCACAGAGGCTGCTCCATCCCAGAGCCTGCAGGTTCCCTGCAGCCGGTGTGGTTTCTGCACACAGGGAGCTTCACAGCTATACAATTAAATGTTTTCAGACTGACCTGTACAGAAGTAACAGCTAATCTCACAGCCCACCACCTGAGGTGAACTCACACAGTCCACCTCCGTTTTCACCATTTCTATGCCAGAGAGGGCTTCTTTGAGCAGTCCATCAAAAAGATATTATATGGAAACACAGATTATGAAACAAAAGAGGAAACAGGTCAAATTACGGGTAGGTTAGCAAGCAGAAATGAAGTATGTATGAGTTTCTTTTGATCTCGAATGCAGGACTAAGGGTTGAATACTGCTGATACTGCAGTCATCTTTGGTAAAGAGTTTATTAAAAGTTACAGAATTGATCCCAAGATTTATCGTGTACGGATAAGGGCAAACGGATGTTGGGAGGAAGAGTAGTGGTCTCCATGGGAAGGCCATCCCTGCCCATACAGTCTGAGAAAGGAGCATCTCTGGTAACTTGAGGTCACTGTGAACTAGGCTGACCAGAGTAGTTTAGATGAGCTCTCCATAAATGCATGATTAAGACATTTCAAAAGTGACATTTTCTGGTTTTAAGAGTTTAAATGGGCCTTGTTGTTAGAAAGAGCCAATCACTGGCCCTCTGCAGCACAGTGGGAACTTTATCTTTTCTCAAGGCAGACATTCATACTGCTTTAGGGTACAGATGCTACCACATAGCTTAGCCACTGCTGTATCATCCTCATACTCTGTTCTGCATCTGAAAATAACTGATAAAAGCAAGTGGTTTTCACAACCCGTTGCTACTCTGTTTGACAGGAGCAGTTTGTGAATATTTAGCACCTTGCTCCAAGTTTCTTTCTCAGAGGCAGAGAAATTGCTACCACATGCAATGAAGCACAAGGAACAACTCAATTTTAAAGGGCATCACAGAGCTTTGTGTCAGTAGTCTTATTTTAGTAAATGATGCTGCAGGATTAAGTCAAATTTGGGGTTGTTTGGGTTTTTTTATATACATATTCACAGGTTCCAAACTCAAGTACTCAGAGGTACAAGCACACTGCTCTACAAGTCAGAGTCCCAGAAGCACTGCAGCAATGGTACCACAGGCTGCTGGAAAGATGTAACTGCATGGGCTGCTTTCTCTGAATACTGTTTCCCTCCCTTGCAGAATCAAGAAACATTCGAACTGCTGTACATTACGACACACCAGTTAAGGCCTTTCAGCCAATGTTGATGATTCAGAGGTGAATTCTGCTAATCTTATGCTGAGTAATATCTTGTAGTAGGATTAGTCTCACAGAAACATTCTCTGTAGCTCAAGAGAGAGGACATTTAACTTTTGGACTAAATCTTTAAAGACCTGTCTTACGAAAGATTTAATTTACCAGGTAAACAACTTGTAAAGACGGTTGTTAGAAATACATTAATGAAAATCCTCCATGTTTCCAGTAAGTCACTTGAGAAGGGGAAAGGAAGAAGTGCCACCATCTGATGATGTGACTAACATCTAAAAAACAGGATGAGGCTGAACAACCACAGGTGCTCACTTGCTGAGACTCAAACCATGCCTTTCAGGACAGGTCCAACCCAAGACAAATGACTCTGACACTCAGAGCCTGCAACCTGAGTCCAAAGGCTAGATTTGGCCAAATGAATTCTGTTTCTCTCATGGGTTTCCCCAGAAGCCCTCAATTCAAACACTAAGCACTGATGTATTTGAAAGCTTAATCCTTACACTATTTTCAGAAGCTTCTTTGTAATTGTCTTTTGAGTATGCTTTTGAGTCTCCAACAGTATAAATCTGGTAACAGATGATGTATTCAAATCCACCAGCTGTTGTGTTTGGGTCTTGATTGTCAAGCCGATCCTCTTAAGCAAATAAACAGATTTGCTTTTGTCTGTCATGGATGCTTTACTACAACTCTTATCTGTTAGCACTTAGGATTTTTCCTGTCTCCTGGATGCATTAGTATTTAATTATTTGCTGAGTAAAAAAAATCTCAATGTGTCTCCTTACAGGCTGCCTTTAAAAAGAAGGCAACATGGCAACTACAGAGGCTGCTAACTTTTATTATAACTTCTCCATCACTGGTCCCAGTGAAAACAGAAGTGAGAATTTTCATATTTACAAGAGTCTTCCTGCTCTGTATGTATTCAGTTGTTTTCATCCTTGGCCTAGCAGAAAATGCACTGGTCTTTGCCATACTAGTTTTCCACATGAAACTGAAGATGCTGACAGACGTGTTTTTGGTGAACTTGGCTATAGCTGACAGGTCTTCCTTGGGATGCTGCCACTCTGGGGATATTCTGTTGCTCAGGAGTGGACTTTAGGCACCATGGCACGTTGTATTATATGGAGCTTGTATACACTTCAGTGTTAACTCTAATGTCTATCACCTTTGACTGGCTTATTGCTATCACTTTTGCCACCGAAACACGTATGTGTCAAACCAAACAACAAATGACATGGGGCAAATTAATCTGTGTCTTGATCTCAGTGATCACGCTAGCATTTGCCACACCATACTTTTTAGTGAGGTGTTTAATATTGATAAGGCATTATGTAAGGAAGAATAGCCAAACCATTGCACAGAATTGGCTCTTGAAGTGATCCAGGTGACTCTTGCGTATTGTATTCCTATGCTAGCCATGATCATTGGCTACTCACTAATTATTAGAACTTTACTGCATGCCAGAATTCTTCAAAAGAACAAATCTATAAAAAATATTTTCTGTAGTTGTCCCGTTTATCCCCTCTCAGTTACCCTATACCTTCTTGAGACTGATAATTAACATAGACTGGAACTTTAACTTGAAAAGCAGTTTCAAATATGCAATTATCATAACAGGAACTCTTGCTTATTTCCATGGCTGTCTTAACCCTGTTCTGCATTTCTTCATGGGGATGAAAATCAGAAGGTACTTACCAAAAATTATTAAAATCTCAAGATGTATCAAACAACAAGTTATGGCTAAACAGTGGCAAACCACTGAACAGGGAGACTCTCAACCTACTGCTTCAAATAATGCAGATGCCAAAAGCTACAAAAACTGCCTAGAAAATCTGTCAACTATTTCACCGTTTCTGTTTCACATTGTTTTTTTGTAAATACTGAGATAGGTAGCCTGAGTGAAAGAGGAAATACAATGCCATTAGTAAACATTGTGATCAACTTTAGACCAACCTATCTTAATCATGATACTTCAATATCTCCTGCTTTTCCAGCCAAAGCTGGTACCTGAGTTAGCTATGCAGAGCCCGTGCTTCATGACATATAGCTAACTTGAATTTCCTGACTTCTAAACCTTTGGCATGCAGTTTTTCCATGAATGGTATTTGTTAATAAAAGCTTTTATGAGTTTTGTTTCAAATATATTACATATTTTAGTTCAGCCTTTCATTTCTCATTTCATGAGAATTCCTGGATTAAAAACACATACATTTCAATCTTCATGCTGGGTTTCCTGTGTGATTGGGTTTTTTTGGGTGGGTTTTTTTTTCCCATTTGGGAGAAGTTCTCTACACATAATCCTTTAGTATTTGTCTAAAATTTCTGTAATAAAGCAGCATTTTCATCTGCCTTTCATCTAATATCAGGTTCATGGTCTGAACGTCCCCTACACATCTATGTATCTTACTTCTGATAACAGAGCTCATGGTGCCAGTTGACCAGACCCCTTGTAAACACAAGGGACATCATGTCACATGTGGTCTCCAACACTAAGCACTGCTTCCCTAGATCCAAACTCTCACATCCCCATTCCCACACATTTTTTGTCCCATGACATCTTTCCAGTCTGTTTTTCCTGGCAACCTGGTTCCCTTGCCATGAAGCTGTGGATTCCTTAGTTGTTTTCCAACCTTGTTCCTCCCGTCCTCCCTTTCCACCTCTGGCCTTTTCACTTCCTAGTGGGAGGCAAAAAGGTGTGCAGGGAGCAGTGCAGATTGGGACCAAAAGTATGCAAAAGCTCTTGCAGAGAGTAGAACAGGCTGGAGAACAGACTGGAATAGGAAAAAGAAGGGATGTTGGAGAGGAGCAGAGGGAGGCTTTATGCAGCTGTGATGAAGGCAGGGTTGGGTCTGGCCCAAAGGCTGAAAGTCCTTTGCATTACAGCTTTAAAATACCAGTTTAAACTGTTTCAAACCATTTTTTAAACAATCACACTCACTCTGGATGTTCCTTTTCTCCCCATTAACTCTCAGTCTTTCTTACCAGAGCAGTGCAGCTCAGTGGTACCTGACTCATTGCGTCCATGTCCCTTTTCCCCCTTAGAAAACAGGTGCTTAGGCAATCCTTTCCTTACTACACAATCTCTCGTTCCTCCCATAGTGAAATATCCTTAAAATAAAACCAGGAAGGAACATGTTGTGCTTTCACATGTGTGCGGCAAGTAAAACTGCTATCCCCATAGACAGCAAGGCAGGTTTTACCAGCAAGAGGATGGCAAGAGGTTCTCCTGTCCCCACTCCTTCCTGGCTGGTTCTGCACAGTGAATGCTTTGCCACATTCAGTTCCCCCTTTTGGCTACACTGGCACCTGGCCATGTTAGTAGTAATTAGGTCAGCAAAGAGTGTTATGAGTCTTTTTTAAGAAAAAGAAGAATGCAAACCAAAGCAATCACAGTGCAGATGTTCTTTCTACCGCTACCAAGGTGTGAATAAACTCCTTGTTTCTGTACCAGGGTGGTGGCAAGGGGTTTTTTTTGTTGTTTTTTTTTATTCTGCTGTCTATGATCTTGGTTCTGCTGCTGCAACATGTATAGCAGGCATGTAATGTCTATGATATGTAAAAATGGAAACACAGTGCACTGGTTTACCCTGAGGACTTTGATCCACTGCTATACACTACCCTGACCTCTGTTTTAGAACACAGTCTGCAAATGTGAATGCTTTAGAAATAAAAGAGTTTAAAAATACAACACTTCAAAAGAAAACCCATGAGCCTTGAACTAGTGGGATCTACCACAATTACACAACTTAGCTTCTCACATTAAGATTTTTATCAGGTTGCTCCAAACACACATAACAGACTTGAAAGAATGAAGCAACTGCTGCTTAATCCTAACCTGTAGGAAAGAGTTGCTTCAAGGTCAGCCAGAGTTATGCTGGTACATCAACTATCTTATCACACATCTGTGCAGTTCATGACCAAGTTGAGTTTTAATTGATTCTCAACTGACCTATACCAGTAAAGGCAGACTCTCAAAATTTGCTGTTATGAAATATTTTTGTTGTAATTACTTCGTGTCACTTCAAGGAAAGAACTACAGTGGCAGGCTAGGTGAAGAAAACAAGTGAAAAATAGAGTAACAGTACAGTAGGCACCAAAAGGATGACAAATAGAAACAGGAATGTCCTTTAAGATAATTCACTTCTTTGAGCAGAAACTCACATTGCCAATCCAGAAAGGACTCACACCTAGAATAGAAGCGGTCAGCGTGACTGCCAGTCAGTCAGAGTAAGGTCATAAGAAACTATGTCAACAGAGCATGTCTATCGCAGATCTTCTATTTGGACACCAAGCTTCCCTTCTCTTCCCTCTCTTGGCTGCTTATCTCCCTCATTTACAGAGTTGCACCAATATTAGTTCACATCTCTGGCAAAACCCAACTAGACTGGATTATTTTCAGGAGATCTCAACAAAGAAGTCTGGCCTGAAAACTTACTTATTTGTATGTATTCCTCAGATCTGCATCTAGCAAGCACAATATTGGATCCTTTGCGTCTTCCCCAGGCACAATATCAAAGTAAATTCTGCTCAAAGTATTCAATTTCATGCAAAGAGAACATTATTGGAATGCCAGTGGAGACTATCAAAAGTTTCCATTAGGCCACATTTAGCTGGATACTTTCAAAAAACAATAAAAGAACTATAGGTCTATATGAAGTTCAGGGTGTTCAGTCCAGTACAGCCAAGAAATCTGCAGCAAAGGAATTCAGAAAGTAACTGAACTGCAGATCCTTGAAATATGGGAAATTTTCAGTACATCTGCCATGGGCTGCTGTCAAAGACAGAACAGAGGGTTAGCAGAATCTTTGCTTGTTCTCAGTATAGTGCCACTGGCACATTTACTCTCAAACCCCCAAAGCATCTTGTGCTGCATTATCTGCTCATGTGCTAAGCGACACTCAAGCCTCAGGTACACGTACACCCCTCACCACAGAAACAAGTGAGAAAACTGTGCTGTCACAATCAACACTGTGCTCTGCTTTTTTCCCCTCAACACGGACCACCGGCACCACACCACCACTTGACTCATTTATCAGTTTCTAGATATCTCCCATAACACAAAACCACACAATCAACACAAGGTGATCAAGTCATCTGCAATGTAAGAAGGCCATTCTCGCTCCAAGTATGACCATAGTAGGACTCTCCCACCTGCTCATGAAACTGATAACCAAGAGCAGCAGAGATAAAACACTATTTCCTGGCTATCCTGCCTATAATATGTGAACAAGGGGAGATGGACAACCTGCAAAAGTTTACATGGTGCAAGTAGGTTGTTGCATGGGGACTCTTCAAGAATAGTATTCCATTGTTAGTGGCAATCCTTCCTTCTAGCTTGAATACTTTGTGGGACAAGATGAACCTAGATCAATCCCAAACTGAAACAAATGGTGACCCACACTTATTTCTTCTGGTTGTTTTCTCCAGAGCTAATTCACCTGTGATATACCCTCTGCAGACAGCACAAATTCAAATTAGTAGTACATTACACTTTTTTCTTTATAAAACAAACAAACATACAAAAACGCACCACCACAAACTGCCCCTTTGCAAAACAAAGGCAATACTAAATTCATAAGAGCATTGTGGAGCTCAGTTCATTCATGTATGCCCAGCACATCACAAGCAGAAATATACTGTCAGTGTTAACAGTATACAAAATAGGCAGAATACAGACAAGTTATCTACCAAGAAACAAAAATATAGAATTTCGAAAAGTTTTTTTTACCAAATAAACAAACTGCAAGTCACTGTGGTTTATATCAGAAATGGGTCTGCTGAAAGCAAAAGAGTCTAGGACTGCTTTCTCAGCAACAGACTGGTTACCCTGTGGCTATTTTCAGTTTAGCATTTAGATTTATCAAGTTTATTTTTCTGCTCAGAAGCAAAGCAAGTGCATAATTTAGATGAAATTTGTCTTTCTTTTTTCTTCTCAAAAAATAATATATTTTACAGAAGTTTTGTAAAATACTTGAAATATTTGAAGAATAGTAAATCAACATTTTGTATAAATCTCAATATATATTACACTATAATAATGGCCAGTCTTCATGAACGAAGATTTTGGGGAAGGTCTTTTACCTTTCCAGCCTGCGCAATGGATTTTTTAGGTGAGACACAGCCTGCGCTGAACTGAGCCCACCCTTTAATCCTAAGGTTCATCTGCCGGGGCCAAGCAAGTTTGGACAATGGCAGTGAGGTCCTCAGGACGTAGGTTTGTTTAGAGTGACCTTCTCATAGATGGATGGCCTCACAGGGCTAACGGGCTCCATCTGCCTGGGGGACCGAGGAATCGAACCTGGGTCGCAGCAGTGAGAGTCCTGCATGCTAACCACTAGGCCACCAGGGGTCCCTTACACTATAATACTACAACATAATTTGCAAACCAAGTATTTAGATATTCAGATGAGATCCTCTTCATTGCTAATTCAATGTAGAAATAGATGTAAAAAAAAATTACTGAAATCCACATTCACTCTTCTTTTCTTAAGAAAGAAATAACAAACTTGTGCCAGATTTAGCTACACAATTGTTCTTTTCCTTTTGTGTGAGCTGTCATCTTAAGGTAAAAAGGAATCCTATGGACACAGACAGGTTCTTTCACATTTAGTTCAATGAAGCCTGTCATAAAAAGAGCACATCTTTCCTTTTCTCCACCTCCTTGTTCTGTTGATACTACGCAGTGGTGAGTCTGACAGTATCACTTAGCTCTTATTACAAGTTGTGTGTGCATGACCAGTGATCCAGCGTGGTCTGAATGCTGCTTTAAAGGTGACAGTTGGCCTGATGACAGCACAGAGCTGGGACTACTCCCCTGTGCTGTGGAGAAACAGGTGGAGGGAGAGGATGGAGCTGTTTATATTTACTAGATTTGATGCTGACTATTCAAATAGGTCAAAATTATGCTGTGTTGGTCTAATGAACATGTGGCCTCGGAACAGAGGTGTCTTCTCTTTATGCAGAGGTTCTCAATGGGAAAAAAAAAGAACATTCTAAAGCAAACCCAAAAGAGTCCCCTCTCCATGAACAGCTGTTTACTCACAAATCTGTCATGCTTTGATCCAGAGACACTCTTTCCAACTGACTTTCATTGTGGAGAGAGTCTGTTTCCTGTACTTGGCACAGCTCCTCATCAGTGATTATATCAAATGCTGCATCATCTGGTGGCTTAGAGGCTTCACTTGCAACTGTGCCATAAAAGGACATGAAAATAAACATAAACAATATTAGCTGGTTGTCTGGAAAATAAACAAGCAAAGCCCTTAAAGGGGAAGACTGGGCCATTCC